TGATGCCTAATGTGATATTAGGTGGAACACAGACCAACTTTTAAAATATTAATACTTCTGTTTTTATTTTAATGTGCATTGGAGAAAATATGACATCAAACCCATAATATCAGTGATTATTTATTAGGGTGAAGCTGAAGTAAGTATTAGGTTTTTTAAAAGTTGTAGCCTTAAAGAAAAAGTTAATATTGTAGGCAGATCACAGATATGCTAACAGTCATCAAGATGGTAGGAGACTATCTAAAGTTTGAAAATCAGTGGCCACTTTGCCCCCCTAGTTTCCATTATATTTGTCTACTAATTAACAGATCAGTCTCAGTATTTTCATTTCTCTTTCTTGATAAAACCTTCAGAGGCTCATCACTCCCTGCCAAATAAAGTCAATCAAACTCTTAGCCTAAAATCAATGTCTTCTAAACCTGGCTCCAGCCTTCCAGTTTTCCTCTACCTCCTGGCTTCCCAAACACTGCTCAAAAAGTACCAGCTGCATAAGATTTAATGATGCCCCAGAAAAGGATTTCATGGTCCAAAAAGTTAGGGAAAGCATTGCATACTATATCCCTCGGAGGTATATTCACAAGGAATTATACGACATTAAAGCCTTTGAGAAAACTTGAGGTAATAAAACTTGTCCATGTTTATGGTAGAACCCTACTTTTGTAGAAACAATGTTTGTGTTTACCAGCTTCCTTGATCATCATTGTGAATAACCCTTTCTTGTAGATGGTGCCTTAATGTCTTCTAGGTCTAGTGTACTAGAGAGGTTGGTTTGGAATGTGCTGTTCTATATCCATGTCCCCAACCCCTGACACATACCCACCAAACTGAACCACCCATAGCTAGCCATATACCCATTTCACCTTGCGCTTCTAAGCCCTTGCTAATTATTCACTCTACTTGGGGTGCTTTCTCCTCTCTGTCCTTGTTCTCAAAATCTTTTCAACCAAGCAACCTGATTTCCCACAACAGTAATGGTTCCTATTTCTGAAGTCTTACCATGTTCCGCTCTTCCAGCATTTTTTACCACCCAGTATCATGGTAGTTGTGTCCCTGATCTTTTTTCCTGCTAGATTTTACATTTCTCGGAGTTACTGTTTTCCACATAGTGCATTGCTTATAGTAGGAATTCAATAAATATTTGATGAATGAATGATAATAAGGTGAAATTTGAAATAATTTATCTGTAGTAAATAATAGAATTGGAGTTTGAAGGATCTACATAGGGAGAGGGACAAATCAAATTTTGGTTTCATTGCTTTTTCTCTATTGTTTTTCTATGTTTATTTCGTTGATTTGTGAGGTGAGCTTTATTATTTATTTTATTAATGTTTTTCTTCTGTTTACCTAGAATTTGATTTGCTCTTTTTTTGTAGTTGCTGAAGGTAAAAGCTAAGGTCATGAACTTGAGAACTTTCTACTTTTCTTATATAGGTATTTAATGTCATAAAATTCTCCATAAGGACTGCTTTAGTGGCATTCTCAAATTTTTATGTGTTGTGTTTATATTCATTCAGTTAAAACTACTTTCAAATTTCTTTTTTGATTTCTTCTTTGAACCATGGTTGGGTTTTGTTTTTTGTTTTTTTTAGAAGTGTGTTGTTTAATTTCCAAATATTTGAGCGTTTTCCAGGTATCTTTCTGTTATTGATTTAAAATTTAATTCCTTTGTAGTCATATATTTTATACGTCTTAAATCCTTATAAGTTTACCAAAACTTGTTTTATGACCCAGAATAGAACCTGTCTTAGTTAATGTCCATGTGCACTTGAAAAGAATGTTATTCTACTCTCCTTGAGTAGAGTGTTCTAGTAAATGTCAAATCAAGTTGGTTGATGATGTAGTTCAAGTCTTATGTATCCTTAACTGATTTTTTGCCTATTTGTTTTATCAACTATTAAGAGCAAGGTATTTAAATCTCAGACTTGTAATTGAGGGTTTATCTATTTCTCCTTGCAATTCCATCAGTTTGGGGTCCCGTATTGCAAAACTGTTATTAAGTGTATAAACACTTAGAATGATTATATCTTCTTGACTAATTGACTTTTTATAATTATAAAATGACCTTTTTTCTGATAATATTCTTTGCTGTACAATTTACTTTGATATTAATAGAGACAATCCAGCTTTGCTTTTCATTAATTTTAGTATATAATTTTCCATCATTTTACCTTTAATCTAATTGTCTTTCTCTATTTGAAATGAATTTCTTGTAGGCAACATACAGTTGTGTTTTGCATTTTTATCCAATCTGTCAATGTCTATCTCTTAAGTGGGGTGTTTAGGCCATTTACATTTAATGTGATTGCTGATATAGTTAGATTTAAGTCTGTCATCTTGCTATTTATTTTCTCTTTGTCCCATATGTTCTTTGTTCCCTTTCCCCACTTTTTTCGAGTTTCTACTGGATTGTTTTTATGAGTCCTTTTATCTCCTTTGTTGGCTTATTACCTATAATTCTTTATTTGGTTATTTTAATGGTTACTTAGGGTTTATACTATACATCTTTGACTAAGTCTACCTTCAATTAATATTATACCACTCCACATACAGTGTAAGAACTTCACAATTCCATTCCTTCCTTCCTAGCCTTTATGCTACTGTTCTACATTTCACTTACACATGTCATAAGCCCCACAGTAAATTATTTTTTTGTTAAAAAAAAGTTGATTATCTTTTAAGATATGATTATTATTTAAGTAATATGAAAAGTCTTACATATTTGCCCATGTAAGTATCATTCCCATTGTCTTCATTCCTTTGTGTAGATCTAGATTTCCATTTGCTATCATGTTCCTTCCTTCTGAAAGACTTCCTTTAATAATTTGTGGAGAACATTAGAGTGCAAATCTGCTGATGATTAATTCTTTCAGTTTTTGGTTTTGAAAGATAATTTCACTGGTGCAGAATTTTAGCTTGACAGGTTTTTCTTTCCATACTTTAAGTATGTTTTACTCCCTTTTCATGTGCTTTTTTCCTCCAAGAAATCTGCTGTCATCTGTATCTTTATTTTTTCATACTAATATGTTTTTCCCCCTACATTTAAGATTTTCTCTTTACCTTGGTTTTGAGCAGTTTGTTTATGATGTGTCTTGGTGTAGTTTTCTCTGTTTCTTGTATTTAGAGTTCATTGAACTTCTTGGGTCTCTAGCTCTTTACTTTTCCTCAAATTGGGAAAATTTTGGGCTATTATTTCTTCAAATATTTTTTCTGTCCCTGCTACAATCTGCTTTCCTATAGAGACTCAAATTACATATATATTAGGCAATTTGAAGTTGTTTCACAGCTCGTGATCTTGTTTATTTTTTATTTTTTTAAGATTTTATTTGTTTATTTGACAGAGAGCGACATAGGGAGAGAGGGAATACAAGCAGGGGGAGTGGGAGAGGGAGAAGCAGGCCTCCCGCTGAGCAGGGAGCCTGATGCGGGCCTCGATCCCAGAACCCTGGGATCATGACCTGAGCCGAAAGAAGGCAGACGCTTAACAACTGAGCCACCCAGGCGCCCCTCGTGATCTTTTTTAGATAGTTTCTGTTGCTATGTCTACAAGTTCAGTCATCTTTTCATCTGTAATATCTAATCTGTCATTAATCCCATCTAGTGTATTTTTCATCTCACATATACTTTTCACATCTAGAAGTTCAATTTGGGCCTTTTTTGTATCTTCTATGTCTCTACTTAACTGTTGAAGCATATGGAATGCAATTATAATAACAACTTTAATACTCTTTTCTCCTAATTTAATATCCGTGTCAATTCTGGGTTTTGAGTCATTGATTATCATTCTCATTATGGCCCATGTTTTCCTGTCCCTTTGCATGCCTTGTAATCTTTGATTGGATGTCAGACTTTGTGAATTTTACCTTGTTGCATGCTAGCTATTTTTGTATTCCTATACATCCTTGAGTTTTGTCTTATGGGGCAGTTAAGTTACTTAGAAATGGGCTGATCCTTTTAGGTCTTATTTTTATGCTTTGTTAGGTGAGTCTAAGCAGTGCTCAGTCTAGGGGTAATAATTTCACACTACTGAAACAAAACCCTTCTGAGTGCTTTACCCAATGCATTATGAATTATGAGTTTTCCAGTCAGTTTGGTGGGGACAGGCATTGCCAGCCCTGAGTGAATGCCAGACACTGTTCTTTCAATATTATTAAAGGATTCTTTCCCCAGACTCAAATATTTTTCTTATACACATGCTGATCAGTATTTTCTCCCCATATTGTGAGGATCCCTCTGCTAATCTCCAGGATCCTCTCTCTGTACATCTCTATCCTCTCCAGTAAGCTATCCAATGAACTCTAGCTACCTTGTTCTCCCCAGATCCTCAGCTCTAGGTCTTCAGCTCAGAGAGTCTACCTGGTTACTTCTGTGTTTCCAATCCTTGCATGTCCTAGAAACTTTCTCAAAGTGATAAGCTGGGGTAATCATGGGTCTCACTTTGTTTGTTTTTTCCATTGATCAAATCTGATATCCTGTCTCTTGAAAACCATTGTTCCATAATATTTTTGTTTGTGTGGAGTTTTTTGTTGTTGTTTTTTGTTTTTGTGTGTTTGTTGGTTGGTTGGCTATTTCAGGCAAGAGGATAAATCTGGTCCCTATTACCCCATCTTGACAAGAAGCGAAAGTTTAATAAGTCATTTTTTCACTGCTTCAAGGTTAGTTGGGGTTCAGGTGATCTAATCTGGGTTCTTTGAGAATTGTTTGGGCTTGCCTGATTTCTCCTGTATATACATATATAAAATACATATATAAATATGTATATTTTAATGAACAAGGAATGTTTGGTTTAGTTAAAAGTGGAAATCAGCCTGAAAGTTTTACAAAGAAGTTAATACTAGTTATCAGGATCTTTTTGGATGGAGTGCTACTAATTTCAAAGAACTCATGGGTAAAGTGTTGAAATTTTCCTAGATCTAGCATCAGTCTCTAGGAAAAATGCGTATTTGTATAAGTAAATACAGAAATTATCATTTAACACCTTTATTTTCTTATTTAAAAATTAGAGGACAATGTATATAAAAATATGCAAGAATCAAAGGAAACCCCCATATCCAGTCACCTAGATGAAATTGTTGCTGCTATCAGCATAACGCCTAGAAAGAAGATCCAAAACAAGCTGCCTCAGACAGCGCTATTCCAGCCTCCTCGAGAGAAACTCCACCTCTGTGAAGAGAAAGCGAAGTCCTACTCTAGCAGTCACGAAGTAAGGACCCTTCATTTTCTATACCTGCACTCTGGTAATTGACGAGAGTTTAGGTTACATTTCTACCCTCAGGAGTTTGGTACAAGAGAGTATATGGAGTACCTTTCTCACAGAATGAGTGTGTGTAGCCCCTCAGGGCTCCAGGCACAGCACTTGGCACAGTCAACATCATTCTTGCTGAATGAATGCACAAATGAACAAACAGGTTTACCCTGACCTCTGGCAAGCATATACTAGACCAGTTGGTTATAGGTTTGACCTACTGCAGTCTTTTTCCATCAGTGTATACACATTTATTGTGCTCTCCCTAGTGCCGGGTCTAAGCACTGGAATCTAACACAAAGCCGATGAAACTTCTATAGAGCTTACAATTCTTACGTTCTTGATCTTCTTGTTTTCTTCATACACCTTTCTCATTCTCTCCTCAAGTTTTACTTATTCACTCGCTCATTCAATATGCATTTCTCTACCACCACTTACATGTCAGGTCCTCTGTTGGTTGAGCGTGCACCTCTTGATTTTGGCTCCGGGTCCTGGGATGGAGGGCTCCTTTCTCAGTGAGGAGTCGGCTGGAGATTCTCTCTCTCCTGCTGCCCTTCCCCCTCTGTCTCTCTCTCTCTCTCAAATAAGTAAATAAATCTTTATTTTTTTTAAAGATTTTATTTATTTATTTGACAGAGAGAGACACAGTGAGAGAGGGAACACAAGCAGGCAGAGTGGGAGAGGGAGAAGCAGGCTTCCCGCTGAGCAGGGAGTCCGATGCGGGGCTCGATCCCAGGATCCTGGGATCATGACCTGAGCCGAAGGCAGACGCTTAACGACTGAGCCACCCAGGCGCCCCAGTAAATAAATCTTTAAAAAATAATAATCCCAGCAAGGAATTGTAAGAGCCTGAACTACAACAGAGGCAGTAGAGATGCCAAGATCTGACAGGAATTTGGAAACGTGAATCAGTGGGGCCTGGTGATTAAGGAGACATAGGAGTTGTAGAGGCAAAAGCCAATCACAGAGGGTGTATACAATTCATGACTTATGTCTCAGCCAGCTTGGGTGGTGGAAAGCTTGCCAGTGCCTTTGCCATTGTAATGAATACAGGAGGAAGGGCAGGATTATGGAGAGGAGACGTGAATTTGGTTTTGAACATGTGCTTATTCATTATGCAGCACATATTTATTCAGTACCCACTATGTGCCAAGCTCTGTACTAGGTAGGCAGTAGGCTGGCAGCCTTTCTCAACCAGAGTTCTGCAGGAGAATTAAGCCCGAAAGCCCCAAATCATTTACTGCCCATAAAGAAGTAACATCTCTTCTGTGGATCTGGAGTGGTACTAAATTATTTTCTGTGTTCTGGAGTTCAGGTGAGGAACCCCTGGATACAGTGGTGAACAGCATGGACAGGTTGAATGCCCTCATGTTGCTGAGGGGCAATCGGCATTGTAAATACACTAGTGAGCTAGAGGTTGTGTCAAGTGCTGTTAAGGAAAGAGTGGGCCTACCTATGAAGAGGCGACGTATGAGCTGAGACCTTAAGAAGTGAAGGAGCCAGCATGGAGGAGCTAAGGGAAAAGAGTTCCAGGGAGAGGGAACAGCACATGTAAAGTCTATGAGGTGGGCACGAGTGTGACATGTTTGGAGTAAAAGAAGAGACCGTGGTCTGATGTGAAATGCAGTTGGAGAGGCAGGGAGTTCACTTAGGACCTCACAGGTCTCCAGCTGAGTGTCCTGGGAGGCCTTAAAAGTGTTTGCAGGAAAGTATTAACATGATGTAATTGGCTTTTTAAAATTTCCATTTTTTTTCTACTTTTGAATTTTAAAATATTTTCAGACTTACAGGAAAGTCTATAAGATTCACCAATTTTTAACGTTTGCATTATGGCTTTATTTGTCTCTGTGTGTGTCATTATTTTTCTGAGCTGAGAGTAAATTATAGATATTACGGTCCTTTACCCCCTGAATATCTTGGAGGATACTCTCCAGGTAACCACGGTACAGTGATTAAATTAGGAAACTAACATTGGTACAGTATTATCATCTAATCTATAAACCTTATCCATATTTCTCAAATTATCACAATCATGTCTTTGGCAGAAAAAAAAGTTAGATCCATGCTCTGCTCCATCAGATTATATTATTTCCAAGGCTCATCCCAGTTATGAAATTGTCTGCCTACTTGTACTTCTCTCCTCTCTACCTCCTCCCCATGCCTGTTGGATGAAGCCACCGGAACTGGCAGAATAAAGATCAGAAAGCCAAAGGGACATTTGAACTTTGTGTTCTAGCAAGTAAGAAGGTGGAGGGGAGGACAGGCTGCTCTTCTCTACCCCTGTCCCAGTTGCAGGTAGTGGGGACCAAGGCTATGATTGGGGGGTAGGGGGGTGGGGGGGACTGACTTCCGGTCTACATAGCCCCCTTCTTAGAAATCTGTGGTTGGATAGATCCATTATCAGATCAGGTCCTCTCTCTTTTTGGTAGACTATCTCTCTAGACTCCCCAATGTTTTCATCATCTCTTTCTTTTTCATACACTATTCATTTGCTGTCTCCCCACGGAAGCTATTCCCTTAACTCCCAGCATTAGCTGGGCTCCATCTGCCAAGAGAGAATCCACTGCCAAGATTTTTGACTGATTGGTGTTAGCTGCTGATGCCTTCCTACCTGGGCCTCTCCGTGGGACCACTTAGGCTTCCTCATGGCATGGTGGTAAGGTTATTAGTTTGCTGGGGCTGCCATACCCAAATACCTCAGACTGAGTGGCTTCAACAACAGAAGTTTATTTCCTCAGAGTTCCACAGGCTACAAGTCCAAGATCAAAGTGTTGGCAAGGTTGATGTCATTTGGAGGGCTAGCTTGCAGAGGGTGTCCTCTCTCTGTCCCCACTTCTTTCTTTGTGCGTGCCTCTCCCTGGTGTCTCTTCCTTGTCTTATAAGGACATCAGTCACATTGGAGTAGGGCTCTATCATAACGACCTCATTTCAACTGACGACTTTAAACATCAACTTTATGCCTTCTCTCCATATACTGTCACATTCTGAAGTACTTGGGCCTCCAACATTTGGGTTTGGGGAATGGGGGCACACAATTCAGCCCATAAAAGGTTCTAAATAGAAACAGAAACTGGAAGCCTCTAGTTCCTTAAGGTGTGGGCCCCCAAACCTGGCACCACATCATTTCCTCCATATTCCATCAGCCAGTCATAAAGCCCAGATTCAAAGGGAAGGAGACCTAGACCCCCACCGCTGGACGGAAAGAGTCAGGGAATTCTGGAGTGATATTTTAAAACTACCAGCCTCGCTTTGAATGTATTGCTACTCTGAGCTGACCTGGAGCTGGAGGGGCCAGCTCCCTGTTCTCTTTGTCCTGACACGGAATATAAATGGACTTCTCACTCCTTTAGTGAAATCTGTTTGTCAGTCCTGCCAACCTCATTGCCATGCTGATATCCTAGGCTGCTAAAAAGGGTATTTGAATTGAGAACTGGCGAGTGTTATTTCAAAACCCACTACCAACTTGTCCACTGGTGCCTGAATGGTGTTCATAGCTGGGCAGCTGGAAACCCTGGGGAATGGTGACAAGTCTGCTCTAGTTTTTCTATGTCTTCTTGATTTATTATATTTTTCATAATGTACTACAAGCTTAAATGTTTTAGAAATTGAAATGTACTATAAATTTTACTTGTTTCTTATTTGTTTCTGCCATTTATTGTCTATTTCACCCCACCCAAAACAGATCTTTGCCTGTTTTGTTCTCTGATGGATCCCAAGTGCTTACAACCATGTCCCGCACATAGTAGGCACTCAGGAAATACACACTGGATAAAAGTGCAAGTTGACTTTGTGCTTTGTGACTCTCCGTTTTCAGTTGTCGCTGACTAGTAAAGCCCATTTTCTCTCCGTCGCAGTATAAACAGGCTGTCCATGAGCTGGTGCGCTGCATAGCGCTGACAAGAATTTGCTATGGCGACTCCCACTGGAAACTAGCGGAGGCACACATTAATCTGGCTCAGGGCTACCTCCAGCTGAAAGGTGAGTTCCTCTCAGACTTGGGGGAGGGGTTAGTCCATGGGTTTCTGCTCTTTCATGGAAATTTGACTCCCTCTTACCTAGAAGGATTCATTAGGTTTTCTTGAATATTCTCCTGTCCACACATTGAAGAGCCATCTCCTTTCAGAAAGAGTCAATAAGATTTTTTCTATAATATCTAAAAAAGAGAAGGAAGATTTTAGCCCTTTGGATGGCTTTTGAGGACCCTTTTTGAAAATTTAAATTCAATTAATTAACGTATAATGTATTATTGGTTTCAGAGGTGGAGGCCTGTGATCCATCAGTCTTATATAACACCTGGTGCTTATTGCATCACGTGCCCTCCTCAATGTCCATCACCCAGTTACCCCATCCGCCTCCTCCCCTCCAGCAGCCCTCAGTTTGTTTCCTATGATTAAGAGTCTCTTATGGTTTGTCTCCCTCTCTGGTTTTGTCTTGTTTTTTTGTTGTTGTTGTTGGACCCTTTTTTTATGATCTTAAAGGTAAGGTTCTTGGGAGAGAATTTGTTAGCTTGGAAGGCCTTGTAGGAGGGGCCCAATGCATGGAGTAGGGGCCTAAAATAGGATCCATCCACATTTGTTTTGATGGAGAATCACTTTCCTGTAAGTGACCCCTCCCCTCCCCCCCAAAAAATACATAAATAAGAGACTAAATCAAGCTGGCAGTGAACAAAAGGTAATGTGTTGGCTTATACAACTTGAAAAGCCAAGGGTAAAACTTGCTGTAGACTTAGCCAGATCCGGGCGTTCAAACAATGTCATCGTGCCGTGTTTCTCTCTTATCCCAGCGCTTGGCTCTGTTTTTCTCTATATGGACTTCATTTTCACCCAGGCTCTGCCCACGTGGCAGCAGCAAGTCTTGCAGAAGCTGTAAACTTCCCTCATCAGCATTCCCAGGAAAGAAAGAACATCTTTCCCCCCAAATCTCAGGATTTGGGGGTTCTAATTGGGCTGACTTGGATGGTATGTCAAAGGCAAGGAATAGTCTGATTGGATAGATCTGCCTTTTGGCTCCACTGGATCCTGGGGGACAAGCTGGCCTTGGTAAATCGAGTGGATTGGGTGTGCAGGGGCCAGGTGTCCCCAGAAGAAAACAGAGAAAGGGGGATAGACGCAGGGAAGGATAGCATGTCTTCTCCTTTTGACTAGGCATCCTGGGATGGCTGTGTAAGAGTACATCTCTGTACTCCTTTCTTCAGCTGAAAAGCAATGATAATGATGATGGTGGTACTTAACTTCCCAGCATGGATCCAGTGAATACATAAAATAACAAGAAGTAGAAAACACCGCAATGCCCAGCACAGAATTGCCACCCAATAAATTTGGCTAAATCTGATTATCGACTGGTCCTACCTATTAGATCAAAGACTGTTGGAGCCAGAGGGGACGTGGAGATCATCTAGTTCAAACCCTAACCCCCTCCTATATTTTTAGATTCAGAGGGAACGAGCGAGCTGAAACAGCTTGCCCCAATTTACATTGTTAGTAAGTAGATGATCCGAGACTTAGACCTTAGATTTTGCACGCCAGCGCCAGTGGCCTGGCATCTGGGATTTCAAATGATGCTTTTCTTCCACAGCCTGCTACCTTTTTGCATGATAGTCTTTCTTTCTCAATTTAAAGTGAAAGCAGCATCTACTCTTCCTTAAGGTCTTTTTTTTTTTTTTTAGATTTTATTTATTTATTTATTTGACAGGGAGAGAGAGAGACAGCGAGAGAGGGAACACAAGCAAGGGGAGTGGGAGAGGGAGAAGCAGGCTTCCCGCCGAGCAGGGAGCCCGACGCGGGGCTCGATCCCAGGACCCTGGGATCATGACCTGAGCCGAAGGCGGACGCCACCCGGGTGCCCCTTCCTTAAGGTCTTATTGAATGCCAGGCATCATGCTATCTCCCATGCATGTTCTCATTCATTCTTCATCACAATCCTATAAGGGGGGTAATATTATCATCACTGTTTACAGTTGAGGAAGCTGAAGCCAATGTTTCGGAGTAAGTGGTAGTTCAGGGAACTCATTCTGGGCAGTTTGATGTCAGAGCTGGTGTTTTTAAACCTCAACCCACACTGCCTCCTGTTGCCTGAGTTCCTTGAGGGAATGTACCAAAGTTGATAATACAGCGTGCCTTTATCTTTTGTAATATTGCATGTGTAATTGGCACTAAAATTTCTTGTAGGCTGATTAAATGTGTGCTTTAAAAAAATTAGACAAAATTCTCGAAATAATGAGCACTGGGTGTTGTATGCAACTGATGAATCACTAAATTCTACCTCTGCAACTAATAATACAGTATATGTTAATTAAATTGAATTTAAATTAAACATTTAAACAAACAAACAAAAATTAGACAAAATTCTCTAAGAGTTCCCACAGGGAGAACATACCCTGGATTTTTTCCATGTGAAGATGTATTCTTATGTTTCTATAGACACAGGAACAGAATTAATTTCAGATTTTTGGCAGCTTTTTTAGAGATTTGAGATACAATTTCATATAATGGAAAAACATAAGACCAGGGGTGTATGGATGTGGGTGGGAGAGAGGAGGATGGGAATGTAGGGAAGTGAAAAGCCCTGAAACCTAACCGGTGACCCCCCGTGTCACCCTTACCACAAATTAATAAGCCCATGGAAGAACTCTGGAGCGCACTGGGGAGTTAGAGCTTGGTAGTGATTATTTTTCTCATTGTCGTCCCATTTTGTTTCATGTTAGTTGATAACCTTGTAGGAATAAGAGATTGTAGCATATTAGCCCATTCTGTCATTGAAATTATATTTGTAAATTTTTGTGGATTATCACTGTATTTGTATTCTGTTAACTCTCTGAAGTTGCGATTATAGATAGACAAGCAGAAGATTCAGAATTTTTAGTATTTCATTAAGATCGCTGTCACAAAGCCAGAATTGAATATCTTATTTCCTGCCCAGAATGCTATAGTCCTTGCTTCTTATAATTATTTAGAACGTATTTTATATCTGATATTGGTGAGGTTTCAAAGTTGTTCAGTTCCCGCTCGTTCTGTTTACTTCTAGAAAGGCCATTTGGGGAAAAATTTATCTTGAGTACTAGGTGTAAACCACTCCTTTGGTTTTTACAGTCGGGACAATATTTCATGTCACCCCGATCCATCTCTATGTGTCACTTGCCAATATGTGAAGGAGACTTCGTTCAATTTCCCAGCCAGAGGTAATTATAGTGAAAGAGAAACTGAGGCCGCTTTTTCTTTGTCCACAGGACTGTCACTGCAAGCAAAGCAACATGCAGAAAAAGCCAAAGAAATCCTCACCAGCTCCATTGTGCCTCCCTATAACGACAATACGGATGTTTTCAGGTGTTCGATCGAGCTGTTCCATACCATGGGGAGAGCCTTACTCTCCCTTCAAAAGTATCCTTCTGTTTCCAATATTTCCACCTGGAAAAGACCCCCATAACGCTTATATTTAATTTTCTTTTTTTTTTTTAAGATTTTATTTATTTATTTAAGATAGAAAGAACAAGAGAGAGAGAGCATGAGCAGGGGGCAGAGGCCGAGGGGGAAGCCGACTCCCCGCGGAGCAGGGAGCCTGAAGCAGGGCTCCATCCCAGGACCCTGAGATCACAACCTGAGCTGGAGGCAGACGCTTTTAACCAACTGAGCCACCCAGGGGGCCCTCATTTTCAAGGCCAAATCAAAAAGTGACAAATGGCTTAGGAAGGGTGATGGGAAGTTTCAGAGCCAAGAATGTCCAGGAACTGGGGGCCCAGAATCTAGAGCCATGTGTGAAGTTTCCTGAACACAGCCCAGATTTAAGGAAGCTTCAGAGAATTTGTCAAAGGCAGAGCGACTTGCAAAGGAGCTGCTGCAGTGTGGACGGATTATAAAGGAGGACTGGATAGAAATTCAAGCACGGATCAAATTGTCATCTGCACAGTAAGTTTCCAGTTTAGGACGTTTTGGATACCTCATGGCTGGAGGTTCTCTGCCAGAACAGTCTGTCTTCAAGCAGAAGGAGCTTCTCCACGGTGCTGTGTCCGTGGCTTCTCCATGGCTGTTGTCCAGAAGCAAAAGAGGACCATGGTCATGTCACAGCAGCCACAACCAAGGCACATACATCAGTGACATTTTTTTTTAAGATTTTATTTATTTATTAGAGAGCACGTGCACACGCACATGAGAGAGGGGGAGAGAGAGAGAGAGAGCAGGAGGAGAGGGAGAAGCAGGCTCCTCCCAGGACCTGAGCCGAAGGCAGATGCTTAACCAACTGAGCCACCCAGGCGTCCCCATCAGTGACACTGTTCACTAAATAATGTGGTGCTGACACATCCATCCCTGGGTCCTAGAGTTCTGACGTCATTCTCTTGACTTTCTATTTCTTGTCTGCTCTCCTGGACCCCATCCTCTGTGTTTAAATCACCATGTATTTCATACCATAGAGAGGAAGAACATATTTATTACATGCATAACTGGCAGAGAGCTCATATCTAGAATCTGTAAAGAACTCCTATATATCAATAAAGCAAAGACAATAGAAAAGTGGGCAAGAGACTTCACAAAAAAAAGGATGCCCACATAGCTAATAAGCACTCTAAATATTCCACCTCATCAGTCTTCAGGGAAGTGAAAATTAAAGTCATGAGCTACTACTACAGCTCCACTAGAATGGCTAAAGTTTTTTTTTATCCTTTTTTTATTATGTTAAATTAGCCAACATATAGCACATCATTAGTTTTTCAATCATGTTCAACGACTCATTAGTTGCATATAACACCCAGTGCTCATCACCACACATGCCCTCCTTAATACTTATCACCAGGTTACCCCATTCCCCGACCCCCTCAGCTCTGAAACCCTCAGTTTGTTTCCTGGAGTCCAGAGTCTCTCATGGTTTGTCTTCCTCTCTAATTTCTTTCCATTCAGTTTTCCCTCCCTTCCCCTATGGTCCTCCGCACTCACTATTCCTTATGTTCCACATATGAGTGAAACAATGTCATAATTGTCTTTCTCTGCTTTACTTATTTCACTTAGCATAATCCCCTCCAGCTCCATTCATGTCGATGCAAATGGCAGGTAGTCATCGTTTCTGATGGCTGATTAATATTCCATTGTATATATGGACCACATCTTCTTTATCCATTAATCTGTTTAAGGGCATCTCGGCTCCTTCCACAGTTTGGCTATTGTGGACATTGCTGCTATGAACATTGAGGTGCAGGTGCCCCTTCTTTTCACTACATCTGTGTCCTTGGGGTAAATACCTAGAAGTGCAATTTCTGGGTCGTAAGGTTGGCTAAAGTTTTTTAAAAGACTGATAATAATATCAAGTGTTGGTAAGGATGTCAGGCTCTTAGAGGCTTTCTCATATGTTGTTGTTGAGAATATATTTGGTATAACTACTTTAGAAAACTGGCTTTATCTTCAAAATTGTAATGTTCATCTACTCTATGACAGCAGTATCACTCATAAATAGAACAGAAATGCACATGTATGTTCACCAAAAGACAGCCAAGAATGTCCAAAGCTACATTATTTGTAAAAGCCAAGAATCAGAAACAACCCAACTGTTCACCAAAGCAGAATAGATAAAATTGTGATCTGTTCGTACAAAGGAAATAATCAGACTGCTCCTTTGCTTCACATCAGGGATGACTCTCACAAACATAATGGGTCGTGCAAGAAGCCAGACCCAAAGAGAGGAATCACTGGGAGGACCTGTCCAGAATTTCTTCCCGCCCAGAAGTAGGTATTCTATCTTGTATTGTAAGAGAGGAAAGAAGCAACTCGGAGGTCCCAGATCTGATACTTGTTGCATCTGTTGAAACCTAATCAGTGTTAGGAGAACTTAATATCCAGCGGTATTGCTACAAAAAGAGGGTAAAACTATCCTTGGCCAGAATCGGGCATCTCCTCTAGATTTCTTTCCAAATAGCAGTACCAAATCTTGCCAGCAGATGGCGCCTCGTACACATCTACCCACCAAGAATGGTGGCTCAGTCGTTAAGTGTCTGCCTTCGGCTCAGGTCCTGACCCAGGGTCCTAGGATAGAGCCCTGCATCGGGCTCCCTGCTCCGCGGGAAGCCTGCTTCTCCCTCTCCCACTCCCCCTGCTTGTGTTCCTTCTCTCTCGCCGTCTCTCTGACAAATAAATAAATAAAATCTTTTTTAAAAAAAGAATGTAAGTCAATGTTTCCAGCGTTGTACAAAGTTACTTTGTGTCTAGCTGAGTTGTTTTAAACTTTACTTCTTTCAGTCCTGGTTCTTCGCAGTGACATAGTCACTGGAACTTGCGTGTTTCAATGGCATGGTTTTCATTTGATCACTCTGCCTTGTTTCCTCATTGAGTTATGAATATTTTGCCTACACAGAGGCGCTTTAGAAATGTATGAGGCTTTGTTTTTGTACATTTCATCTTATATTCACAACCTCAAGGTCCTTTTCTTTTACCAGGTCTTGGTCGTAGAAGACCAGGATAATGTCTCAGGCAGCTCTCACAGGATTTGTGTTCCTCTTAAAAGGGCATCTTTCATGCATCCTCCCCCTCCTTCTGCCTCGCCTTTTATGGTGCCCATCAGGCTAGGCTGGTTCTTTTCTCCTTGGGCTGACAGATGAATGCTGCTGGTGACTCATGGTCTGTGCCTTCTATCCCTAACTTTGGGCTGAAGCTTTGTCCCTTTTACCTGCCTTCCTCCGTTCTAGCACTACTTCCTATTCACTAATCATTCATTAACTTTGGAGACTAAGTCCAAAACATGTTCCTAAAAAACCCCCTTGTTTTTTCTAAATGTGATCAAGAAACTCGCTAGTGAATATGGGCACACCATTCTCCTGTGTTAAGAATTATTTTCTGCCCCAGTTACTGCTGCTCCAGAACGTGTGACCTGTCTAGGTTTTCCCTAGGACTGTGTGACAGGTCATCTTTGGAGTCCTCCACAGCTTGCTCGGTGAGCACTTGGCCTGGTGTTGCTGTGCTGACTAGCTCTCAGTGCACTTGGGGTAACTAGAGCATCACCAGCACATCTGTATCTCAAAGGAATGGGATGTGGTGTAGTCAACAGTGTGGGCTTTACAATCAAGTAGCCCCGAGTTCAAATCACCATCCATTCCACCCTCCCAGCTGTAGGACTATGGGCAAGTCCCCCACTCTCCTCTCCTGTTAAGGGAGGAATGATCAGACCTCCAAGGTTTGCTGTGATGATGAAATAGACCGCACATTAAAGCATCTGGGTACATGGTAGACCTTTTTTTTTTTTTTTAGATTTTGTCTATTTATTTTTAAGAGAGAGTGCGCATGCGTGTACAAGTAGCGGGGGGGGGGAGTTGGAAGGGGGGCAGGAGGAGGGGTAGAGGGAGAGGAAGAGAAAGAGCCGAGGCAGGGCTGGATCTCATGACCCTGAGATCATGACCTAACCTGAAATCAAGAGTCAGTTGCCCAACCAACTGAGCCACCCAGGTGCCCCAAGATTTTATTGTTTTAAGTAATCTCTACACCCAGTGTGGGGCTCAAACTCATGACCCTGAGATCAAGAGTGGCATGCCCTACAGACTGAGCCAGCCAGGAGCCCTGGTAGACCCTTTTTAAAAAGTAGTTATTATAGTTACTATCCAGTGGAACATTTCTCTTTGTGCAGTTTCATCTCAGAAACAATTTGGTTTTAAAGCATGTGCTTATATCGCAGACTAAGATTCTATACTTGAAGACTGCCCCTGGAATGCAATATTCTTTCCTGTTCTTATCCTGTGACTCGGGAAAGGCTAAGCACTCTTTGTCTTTACTTTTGTGAACCACCTACATTAAAATTAAGATAGTCTTATGTTTGTTTTTTTTTTAAGCTTGACTTTGTTTATTTGTCTTGCTTCTTCTTGATCCATTATAGTCGTGAGATTTGGAAAGTGATTCTAACATAAGCTTTCCCAAGAGGAAAGGAGATGAGGAAGTTTCCTCTCTTGGCCGGGACTTCCTGGGAAGGGGTAGAAGGTAATGGAATAAACAACGGTATGTGGGACCTCATGTGTATCTACCTGCTACCATGTCACTGGGATGCTGAAATTCGACTTAGTTCCATAGGCTTCCCCATAAAGTATCCCCAGTGGCTTTTACTGAGAATTTTTGATACTTCAGTAATCATCTTTACTCTCTTGCTGTTAGGTCCTACGGTGTTCAGTAATCTCTAAATCTTACTTTCAGGACTCAACCGTTTTGTTTTGTTTTTAAGTTTATACCATCACGTGGAGGTCCTTGGTGTTAAGCTTATACCTCTGTCGATGTGTGTCTTTAAAGAATCACCTTCTCGGGGCACCTGGGTGGCTCAGTTGTTAAGCATCTGCCTTTGGCTCAGGTCATGATCCCAGGGTCCTGGGATCGAGCCCCACATTGGGCTCCCTGCTCAGCAGGAAGCCTGCTTCTCCCTCTCCCACTCCCCCTGCTTGTGTTCCCTCTCTAGTTGTCTCTCTCTGGGTGTCAAATAAATAAATAAAATCTTAAAAAAAAAAAAAGAATCACCTTCTCTACATCTCTTTTTTGAGTATAAAGGCTCTGACAAATGCTCATGTGTCCAAAGCCCTGCTTCTCTCCTCCTCCGGGAAATGCCCTGTTCTTCTCCCGAGATGTTTCTCCTGTCAGCTCCTCCCATGGGACACTATTTGCCTGGCATGCCGCATGCTTGTTTCACAAAGAAGGAAATGATTTATTTTTTTCTGGTGCTCTTCTTTGTCCTGTATTCCTTTGATTAAAGAAATGTGCTACCCTTACACAAAATCTGATTTTTGAAAAATCAGGGTTTTTTTTAATGTGGAGAAGCACAAAACCCTACATGGCACAGATTACCTTCATATATTTTATCTGCTTTCTATTTCTTCAGTCCCTTAAAGTCTTAAATTTCAGAGCACTATATTTTTCTCTTTCCCTTTCTAACACTACCTCCTTATAATACATAT